CTGTCGATTGAGGAGAGCCAACCATCTACGATTGGAGAAGCTAACCAACGAACGCGCAGACGGGAGACTGGAAGGAATGACTCTGTAATTCGTCCACTTACTCTCCATGCCTACGTACAGTGCCTGTGGCCGTTACCGGCCGTTACTGTGGCCGCGGCGGCAAAAAAAAACACCACAAGCACACCTACTGAACAAACAGTAGTACGTAGGGTAGCCGTAATGGAAGACCTGTGGCCGCTTATTTGGCACCGGTCGGATTTACAATTAAGATTTTTTTTCAGAGGAAGTGATGTCAATTTTCCTGAAACTAACGTGCTTACCCATACCCTGCTTCATATAACTTAGGCGGAATGAAACAATTTGCAAGTGGGCGCTGACTGGTTCGGTGAATTATTCCCGTGCAGATTAATGCCATCTAACAGAAAAACGCTCACGGATGCATAATTATGGTCTAGGATCGTTAGTAGCATAGGTGACTCCCTGGATATAAGACACCGTCGAATTATGTGTAGAGACACACGATAGTTAGACCGTCGTTGCCGACAACATCTACCGTGTGCTCCACAGCAAGCTGAGGACAGGGACGGTGACTTTTGCGAGATTTAGTCTATAGTGAATGAAGACTTGCGCTGCATCTACCGCACTATCTCCTTCTCCCCCAACTGGAGCCGGTGTCAAGACAGAGTCAGGCAGACCGGAGGTGGGAGAGGGCGCAGGTGACCGACTACTCCTCCATGTTGTATCCCAAGACTTGAACTTTCCTTATCTTCTGAAAGTGCATCTTACCTCCTGCGGTTGAGAAAGCGTTGCTAAGTTTCTTACTTTTGAAGTCTGCATGCCGGCATGTCTGGGGAAGGGTGAAGTTAAGAGCATATGAAAGTTAGACCGTCGGTTTTAACGATGTCCACCGTGTGCTCCTCATCAGAACGAGAGCAGGGACGGTAACTTGCGCGTGAGCTAGTGTATGGTGATAGTAGACATGCACAGCATCTACCACACTCTCTCCTCTCCCTCCCTCCACCCACATGGGTCCAGCGTCAAGACAGAGTCAAGAAGACCGGAGGTAGGGTAAGACGCAGGTGGCTGGCATGGCGAAGGCCCGCACATGGGCGTACCACCACACCTCCTGGTCCACAACATACGCTAACCAGGATTTTACACAGCAAGATGGTGTAAGGGGCGGTCACCGGTCGTTCTTATGGAACTAACTCGATCCGTTGTGCCTTAATGGTTCTCTCTCAGGCCCAACCAGCAGCCGCGCAGCGGCGCATGATATAAGCAGAATGTTATTTCCGACAAAGACAAGGAAGACCAATATGGCCATTTCTGACTTATTAGCCGTCATCAGCCAGTCAACCCCGAGGTGTGGACCACCTGGGGCTTGAACTCGTGACCCGCTAGCTATAAGTCCACGCCTCTAACCACTGAGCTACGCGCTCGCCGTCCTGTTGGAATATACGATGGTGGAGGGGCGCTCACCGATTGTTCTTACGGAACGCACTCGTTCGTATTCAGTCGATTCGGATATCACTAGGTGGTCTTGCTACTTAACCGCACATGATTTTGTACACCAAAAAAGTGGGAAGCTACACGGATATCAGCATGCGCGGCGCGAACCTGCACATTGGCGTGGCGTCACCTCCCCTCATTACGGTGCGCATTCCCGATAACGCCCGCCGGACTCCGATCTAGACCCCGCTCTAGCCTAGCGCATCTGCCGCGCGGTGCGTGCAGACGGACTGTTTAGTCCTCTTAGCCACTGCACACACACACGCCCGGTCTTCCTAACGTTTTTTGGCACCGAAAAACGGTGGTATGGGGAGGGGGGGTGATGTAGGTGCATCGCCAGCTCTCTACAAACAAACCCATGTGCGGATCTCGGCTTCGGTCACACCGTGGAACAGCGGTAGACCTCGCTGATTGAAACGATCGAGACATCAGCCAGTCTTAGGCAGTCCCATCGGTCAGCTTCTACTGACAGAATGCAACTTCTGTGAACCACTGCTTCCTCGCCACAGCTCATAATCTGCTGACTTCGAGGGGAGCTCAGGCACTTCAGGGTAAACGCAGCCGCGGTCTCCGTTTTGGCAGAGCCACCTTAGATTCGACGACTGTACCTTCATGCACGATAGAGTTGCATACAACTTCAAACAAGGAGTGTGCGGACAAGTCAAAAACGAACGCCTGAAATACCGCTGTTCGCTCCAGAAGAGGAACTTCTTGGCACAACATTTGCTCCTGAACACACATAAGGGAAGGTAGCTGGGTGGGGGAGGGGGGGGGGGACAGTTGAGGCTGCTGCTACTGTGTTGCCTGTGTGCCAGTTATGCCGCTAATCCCGACGGAGGTCTTGCAAATGCGGAGTGGCGGCCGTTTAGCGCCAGAGATGTCAGTCTGACTATGGGTCAGAATCTGCCAACCAAAGGGTCACCACGGCTGCCAATCCGGACGTTTTAATGAGCAGACACTAACACCTACCAAAGGTCTTTGGCATTCCAAGCCCAACTAAATGGCATGCGTCAGCAGTTTCTAGGGGGACATAAATGTCAGATAATGATGTACGTAGACCCCAAGATATAGGACGTCTAGCTCGAACTCGGAACGCTATTACAAATATGATTTGCTTGAGTCTCTCACGACGAGCCAAGTCTTGGTTTGGGAAATTCAGTTTACGGTAACTCTTCATCAGGCCAAAACGGTTACATAGGAGTTTAAATTATGCGAAGTTACAGGACTTATAAGTGATTCAGGGACTATTTACACCCATCGTTCCCATGCCACTCGCATGACGAGGCGTGCTATGGCCTGGTTGGCGTGTCGTGGTCATTGGGTCAAGGGGGCGAGGGAGAGGGGGACATAGGCAGAGAGTAATGTTTGTACGTCGGGTACGTCGTGCACACACCACTGCCATGAGGAGGTTGGGGCGAGGTTGGGGTCGGCGTTGGCCACGGAAGAAAGAGCGCCTGCGTCAGAGTCTTCTGGCAGCATAGCACTGGAATGGCTAGCCGTATAGCCACTGCCTCGGCTGTAGTTAGCACCTGTTGGCGTAGGCCCCTGGAGAAGCTTCCTGGTGTCCGGTAGACTGTCGAAGGTCGTGTGGTCGACAAGATAAAGATTCCCAATCAAAAGTCAGGGAAGACGGAATGAGTGGGAATCTTTATCTTGTCGACGACACGACCTTTGACAATTGGTGACCCCTTTGCGAACAGCATTCGTTCTTCCTAATCTACGACAAAGTCAGGTGTTGATCATGGACAATTTTCCACCAGAAGTGCAGCACATTTTGGCACCCGCCTTCGGCATTCTTTCGGCCACGCAACTTACTCAGATGGCTGATCGGCTTATGGAGATGCACGGTTTTTCCAAGCCGTCTATTTCAGCACTCTCAACTCCCTCAACTCCTCCTGCGTCTCCCATTTCGCAGTTAGAGATCGAGCTCAACAAGCTGGCCGATGATATAGCCGCTCTCCAGAAGCCCACAGTTTCTGCCTCATCCCGGAGCCAAACGCCGCCGTCCACCCCGCATGTCCAGTCTTCTCATTCAGCCCGTCCAAACGCAGCTGCCACCTGCTGGTACCACACTACTTTCGGTGCCAAAGCCCGTTGCTGCGTCTCTCCCTGCTCCTTCACCTCCAAGCAGAGCAAACGGGGAAAACCTGAAAGGCTTCTTTGACATCGACTCGGTGATTCGTATCGACAAGATGTGCGTGGATAGAACTCGAGATCGATTTCTTTTCACCTCTACCTAGTCAGGCCGGTATGTGTTCACGCACTCTATTTTCCAGGTGCCTCGTTGTGCGGCCAATGTATCCCGCTTCTCAGGAGCAAGTGAATGAGTAAATACACATCGATGGGTGTTAATAGTCTCTGAATCACTTATAAGCCCTGTAATTACGCATGATTTAAACTTCTATGCAACCGTTTTGGCCTGATGAATAGTTACCGAAAACACGTGTTTGCCAAATTGACTTTTCAATTGTAACATGGTAATATTCGCTGAAATTCAGTTTAGCGTATTTGAGGGAAATAGAGTTAAAGTTGTGAAAATCCCCATAAGTATGTTCAGAAGAGACAGTGGCGAGCGAACGTTCCTTTCGGTAACTTCTCATCAGGCCAATACAGTTACATAGGACGGGGTACAGTGAGTGAAAAAAATCGATAAAAGTTAGTCTTTACATTCCAGGCTGGGCAAGAGCGGAAGGGCGCAGAAAGTTATATGTGGTTAGTCAACCTTTGACCACGGTAAGCGCGGAGCCTGAACAAGGTTCTTTTGGGCGCATAGGGTCGGTTTTCGTAACCTTTTGGCGGCCGCTTCTGCTGTTGCCAACCGACGTTGGCCCAGTAGCTTAGGATGGTTCGAGGAGACCTTATAAATCACACGAAATGCTTCAGCGGGGTCCACACGATGCCCTGAATCAACTGCATGCGCAGAAATGACGCTGTTTATGCTCCTAGTCTCGCCTTTTTCCAGCCATATGTGGGGAGGTGTTCGCGCATTCTTTTGGATAGACGCCGACTCGTAGGACCAAAATATAACCTGCTCCACAGGAACAAATGAATGAGTAGATGCACATTGAGGCGGTCTGAGGTGGAAACTTATCCTTGCCTTCTCCGCGTAAAATAGGGTTAGTAGAGAATGATATGCGAACCCTTGCTGCTGGGAAGGTTCCCAAGACATATTCCTAGGCGTCTTCTAAGGAGTTCACTCGCAGCGTCTCTTTGGAAAGGAACTTTGAGGAACAACGTTTTCTTTGCGACGGTCGCTGTGGTGGGTTTTGTGGGTCGTTCGGCGAGGTTCTTTGCAATGAACCTGTCAGGGTACCCACTCTCACGAAGCAAGTCCTGGATTTTTCTAAGTTCCTCCTCGATACTATCTGTTGAAAAAATATTTCTAGCCCTTTGTGCCAAACCCCTGACTAGATTCCGTTTTTGTTGGAGAGGTACGAAACTAGCTAAGTTCGCGTATTGTCCAGACCAGGTTTTCTTCCGATAAACGCTCCTTCAGATGCTACCGTCAGATCTTCTGTTTAGAAGGACATCTAAGAAAGGAAGCGAACCTCCTACTTGTTACACACAACTCGGAAGAACTAGAAACAGTGCAGGGCAACTACAGCGCCAAGTGGAAACAAAATTAGTCTCACGTAAGTGCACATGCATGTTTAGAATTCTGCACAGTCATGTTGTTCACTTGTTTCTGCAGCATACGCCTGTCAAAGCAATGTTTAGATGTCTTCACTTACTGAGACACTGCAATAGCCTCGGGAAGGTTATTCCATGAAAAAAATATCTTCCCACACACAATTCTCCTTGGAGCACTTGCAGTTCGGATGGATGCCGCCGGAGGTTGGGCATAATGGCGAGTTGGAATAAGTCGTACATCATACGGAAAGTCTGTATCAAGTCCCGCGCAAATGCCACAGGATAGAAATTTAGGTTATTTAGGCGGCTGCCGTATGAAAGAGCGCCTTGACCTCTTATTAATTCTATGGCTCGACCCGACATTCTTTCGAGTAGATTATAATCCTGCCGTGTGCAGGGTCTCCAATCTTGGACTGTATATTCAAGACACTACCTTACAAACGTACCAGACTGTAGTCTTCATCGGAAACTGTGAATGGCTGTTTGATGGCGTACAGTGTTGCAGTTGCGACTTCCCTACGTCAGTGCGTAGGAGGCTGAGATCTTCCTGTGTAGCGGTTTCTCGGAGGGGTACTCCGTTTGGATGGTAGGTGAGCCGGTCAGAGGCCTGGTTTCTATTTCCAAAATGCGTGGTACATTTGGTAAAGTTGGATGACAGGAGCCATCTGCGGGACCACTCAGCTAATGGGCAATGATTTCCTTGGAAGATCGCTTCATCGGCAACACTGTGAAACACGCAAAATTCAGTTCCTGTATACAACCAATAAAAAAGAGGGTCGGTATCAGAGCACTGGACACTGTGGAACTCCACGCTCTCTGACTGTACGTCCTGCTTTGCACGGACAACTTGCGAACGACAGAAGGGGCGATTTTCGATCCACTTAAGAGATTTGGCTGACAATCCAAACTCTCATCCTGCACCACAGACGCTGGTGCGGAAAGACACAGAAGGCATGCACAACGTGCTTCTCATCGAGCGTTTTTGTCCAGTTTTTCATCGTGTTAAACGACTGGCGGAGGATAACGGAGTCTAAAGCAGGCATAGACAGCAGAATTTATTGGAACCAGTAAATTTCGCAACGGCTTATCAACTGCAGCCTGCCGTTGCATAACACAGATAACAAGAGAGAAATAGACAGAGGTTTGAACTTCCACAGAAAAAATCAATGTAAAACAGCAGGGTCATCGTATACTGCACGCAGACTAATCAATAAAATGGCAACTTGAAAACGCAGCATAGGAAAGGAAATGGGGAAGTTAACACACCGAGAGATTTCGCAAATTAAAAGGGTTCGGATCTACCAGGGCAAACTGTTTACATAGATCGGGTTTCTCCCGTCGCATGTAGACTGCCTCCAAATAGCTCAGTAACCGAGTTGTTCGTGCTCGAACTAATGCTCCAAAAGATGTTTTGGGGTCAATCCAATGACCACTATCAAGGAAGTGTTTTGCAATAGAAGACCGTGAAATCTTATTCTCCTGCTTTAGAAGCCATTTAGGCAGGCGCTCAACTGACCTGGCTGCCAATTGTCTTTGCGTTCGCCCAATGTATTTGCATCCACAAGGGCATGTGAATTCGTAAAGACAACTTGACGTGGCGTGCAATGGCAAGGCATCTGTCGCCCGTTGAACTTGGATAGCCTTAGTAGGGCTGCAGAATATGAGTTCAACTGAGTGCTATGTTCTTTCGATGGCGCATCTCAATCGCCGCTTGATGGTATTTGAGATGTTGTTGCCCTTAAAGAATAAGGATATTACAACGGGCTTTATCAGAACTGATTGTTCCGTCAATTTTGGCCGTAAAGTATTGCTATAATTTTTGATGAATCGTGTTGGATATCCCCGTTTAAGAAGGGCTGTTTGAGACAAGAACTTTCATCCTCCAGCGTTTCAATAAAGCAAATTTTGGCTAGATCGCATTTGGTAGCCAGGAATGGGGAAACGCACGGCGACCTTAGCCCTAATCCTAACCTTAAACCTAACCCTAACCTCAACCTTACACGTTAACCGTTAACCTTAACGGCAACCCTAACCCTAACCGAAATCGTAAACGGAACCGTAGGTCTTAGACATAGTCGTTACTGCAAACCTAACCGTAATACTGAAGCCTAATCGTACGCTCAAACCCTAACCGTAACTCGAAAACCTAAGCCTAAATGCATAACCCTAACCCGAAAATCGGAAACCGTTAAGCGGTACCCTAATGCTAACCTCAAACGTTAAACGGAGGCCAAATGGGTCAGATCTGATTATGCAACCCCAAAAAATAGCCCCAGTAAACAAACCCCCCAGCCACCTGTAATACGGGGCCTGGCTACCAACTGCGATCTAGCCCAAATTTATTTGCTCTTTGGAATAGAGTGTAAACCAAATTCCGCTTTCGTTGCAACGGCACCAAGCTCAAGAAGCGCAAGTATTGGCCTTTCCGTGTATCCTTGTGGAAAACCGATCGCCTTATTGAACCATCTTCCTGTCTAGTCATGAGGACATGCAGGAAATAAAGCTTGTTGCACTGCTCCTTTTCCATTGTGAATTTAATCTTAGGATGGAGACTGTTCATGGCAACAAGTAGGTCTTCGGCCTCCTCGTCGGTTGACCCCAAAACGTCTTTTCGAGTATTAGTTCAAGCACGAACATCTCGGTTACTGCGCTACCTGGAGGCGGCCTACATACAGCGGGAGAAACCCGACCTATGTAAATAGCTAGACCACGTGGTCAACCTCAGCTTGCCCTGGTAGATCCGAACCCTTTTGATTTACGAAATCCCTTGGCGTGTTAACTTCCCCATTTTCTTTCCTATGTTGCGTTTTCAAATTACCATTTTATCGACTAGTCTGCGTGCAGTATACGATGACCCTGCTGTTTTACATTGATTTTTTCTGTGGAAGTTCAAAACTCTGTCTATTTCTCACTTGCTATCTGTATTATGCAACGACAGGCTGCAGTTGATAAGCCGTCGCAAAATTTACTGGTTTCAATAAATTCTGCTGTCTATGCCGGCTTTAAATTCATTCCAGAGAAACATTGCTTCAAGATAACGGAGTCGTCGTGGTGTCTGGAGGATTGGGAGTCCAGCAAATGAGATCGCCCGCGGTGGCTGACAAAGTTAAACAACTCGTCCACGCGTCACACACACACACGACCTGCGCGGGGATAACTTGGGGCAGGCCCAGGATTCACATAGTTAGGAGTTAGCTCAACAATCAGCTGGCCTTCCTTGACGTACAAGTGACAACGCTGGAGAACGGGAAGATAAGTACAACTGTCTACCGTAAGGCAACTAACGCCAGGCGAATCCTCCACTTCAGAAGCAACCACCCAATTGGCCACAAACGCAGTTGTGTCAGGACCCTATTCCAACGCGTTCAAACACACTGCGACGACAATTGGAGGAAGGAGGAGATCAAGTACTTGCACGCCCTATTTAAAGCCAACGGTTATCCCAAGTCCTTCATACGTAAGTGTCTTAGGAAGCCCCACCCTGAGCGGTCGGACGGAGTAAACCCGAAATTTCGGCTCTCAGTCTCTTATGTG